AGAGAGAGAGAGAGAGAGAGAGAGAGAGAGAGAGAGAGAGAGAGAGAGAGACAGACAGACAGACAGACAGACAGACAGACAGAGAAAGAAAGAGAGAGTATGATTTTCTATGTGTGTGCCTGTGTCTGGTTTTTAAAACATTATTTTGCTTGTGTATGTGTACGGCAGACAGACATATACAGACAGAAAAATACAAGCTTTGAATATCTTGACACCGAATTCAAGTAATCATACAATTTTGAGAAAGTCGTTAGAACTTTGATTCTGACTTATGGTCTTGGTAACTCAAAAAGGCATCAAAATGTCAGATAGAATTTAATAATTCTAAAGTAGCGGCTGGTTACAATGTCGTCGTATCCGCCGATGAGTCTCTCAGTTATTCATGGATAGAACTCACTCTGATGATGTGATGTTTTTCTGGAATGTTCGGCAAGATGGTTGTGTGCCACCAGTACGTTGTCTCCTTGGCAGGGACCAGGATCTGAGGAGAAAATCATTCGTTTGAGAATGTTAGTTTGAGTAAAGAAAGCACGACATCGGTTTGGGTGTTTATTTACTAACTTACGTACTCTCTCCCCTAACCGTCAGGTACATAAGGCTGGGAGCTAGGAGTGGGAGCAGTCGACACCACGCTTGCTAGTCCCGAGCCACTTTCTCCAATCTGGGCAGATCCAGGCCCTGGGTGTTTGCCTCATCCCTAATTGTGCTTGTATAGCTTCCAGTTGGTCTACCTCTTTTTTCCCAGGTGGTTTCCAATACCATGTCTGATAGGGCACTCGGTCTTTGGAATTCTTTGAACAGTTTCGTTTATCAAGTGTTGTTTAGTTTTAGTAGAGGGTTTTACGGCACTCGCAACTGCATAAGGTCATATGAGCGCCAGAAGATTAGAAATGTTACAAGAGAGTAACAGACATAAACAAGAAGAAGGGGAGGTAAGGACGGTAGATGTTTAATAGGAAAGAAGAAGCAAACCACACCAAAGCACCCGCAAACCACCCGCTATCATGTATTGGGTTAGTGAATAGTTAGAGAAGAAAATATGATGATGATGATGGTGATGATAATGGTTACCATAATTAATATTATTTTTATCATTTTTCATTGTCCTCACTATCATTTTCGAAACAAACAGCCTGAAAATTATATATATGTAGATGAAACACGTTTAGTTGTTATTAATAAGAACAATAATCTACTCCGCAAGAGAAACAGCCTGACTTGAGGGGCGCGGATTTCGAAAGTCCAAGTATCCGCTGGGAGTATCTGAGGAGGTACTTCTGGTTTGAGCAGCTGAACTCTCTGTAAACCGCTTGGGAATTCAGTAATTCGCTTCCCGAGAGGACTTTCGCCTTCTTCCCATCCAGGAGGAGCCTCTATATACAGAATGTGGGTCGTGCCTCTCTGTGGACGAGAAGGAAAGCAAATGAAATATGTTAATTAATCGGTAATCGCATGGGCAGAGCTCCCTTTTCAACATTTATTTGTAGTTGGGTTTTTTTCTCAGAGGGGGGTCTCCCACTTTGAGGTCAATCGCTGATAGGACAGTGCCAGGTAGGCGAAGGACCTTAAAAACTTTCCGAACAACGAACGTTCAATAACGGCACATTGGAGATTTGAACCAGGAACATGGGCACCAGGACGGAGCATGGCACCAACGAAGGGAAGAGCGAGCCTATAAGAAAATTATTAGAGAAGATCATACTATGGTGGTGGGTAGTGGTAGAAATGAAGAAAGCTCTCAATTGGGATACAGGTGAGTACTATAATTTAAGTGAAAGAGAAGAACCATAGGCTATATTTAGTGGTAATAAAAGCAAGACAGGCATAAAAAACGGACACGGACACATACACATGAATAAGATGAGAACTAACACACACACACACACAAACACACACACACACACACACACACACATACATACACACAAGCATACATACACCTCCATACACACCTCCATTCGCACACATACATATAAACACACACATTCTCGTACATACACACACACAAACTCACACACACAAACTCACACACACACACACACACACACACACACACACACACACACACACACACACACACACACACACACACACATCTCTACTCACACAAATGTGTATGTATGGTTCTTTTCGTCTTTGCATATGGTCAATTTAGCTTAATTAAGATAGTCTCAAGGTTGTGTTTATGCAGCTTTTTTCATTGCTAATTCTTCCTATGTTTGAAGCGCAACTTCTGTCGCAGTGCTTGCATGTCAGTGAGGTGGACTGAACCTCTTTTTTCCGCTGTTTTCCTTTCACACACAGATAATATCCATACACAAACATAAACTCACAGCGCGCGCACTCCCACCCATTCTACACACACCAACACCAACACCCACACCCACACCCACACACACACACACACACATAAATAGAGGAGAAGAGAGTGCGCGATGACCCAGATATTCACTGAGGTGCGAGTCGCATTCTATTTTTATTCAAATCTAAAGAAAGCAAAACATAGCTTCAGTTTACTTTTTGTCAACCCAGCCAAATCTGTCAGGGATCAAGCTACCTTATTAAGAAACTGTGCCACCGCCTGCTTATTTTGAACTGGCTAAAATTTCAGTTGTCTGAATGTGGCGCTGCTCCCAGACAATTCAAAAACACTTTTCCTTATGAAATCTATACATACGAACAGCACATTACCTTTTATGGTGCCTCGATTCATGGATATCAAGTCAATGTACTGGGAGTTAGTGAAGGCGCTTACGTGACAGGAGAAGATAGGGCTGAGCTATCCTATGGGATTTTGTACAAGTTGGTGTGGCTAAATTTGTACGAGTTGACAGACTGTTACTGATATTTTATCAGCACCCCCCCCCCTTTTCCCCATGTCCTGCTCCCACTCCTACTTATTTCAAGGTAGTCAAGCCCTGGAGCTTAGTTAGTAACAAACTGGGCTGTGGTTAACTAAACACAAAGTGTTGTGTTCTTGAACTTGCATTGTTTGGGAAATGAATTTTCGTGCCTCTCCACCTGATTGCCTCGGTTGTATCGGAAATGGATGGAGGTGCCGCCTCTTGAATAACCCAGAGTAGTTTAAAAAGACATTGAAACCGTAAGATACCATATCCACCCACCCAACTCTATCCCCTCATTTGTTTCCCCTTTTGAGGTAATCAAGCGCGCAAACTTTTGTGGTTATGTTCTATCCAAAATATCCCAGTCCTATCCAAAATATCCTCACTGCATGAAGCTGAAGCCAAATTTGTAGCATATAACCGGCTCTCATGCCGTGTACAACCAGACATCGTTCGTTGCAGGAGAACATTCTCAAAGGACAAGCAAAAATGTTTAATAATGAATACTCAAATATGATCAGTAGTATTTTATAGCACTGATTCCCGCTAAAAGCACAGTGCACTTTACAATCTATAGTATCACTCCAGCAGACCTGATATCATTCCAAAACAATATCACCTTCCTGGCAAGATCGCATTTTACAGGCTCTTAAACACCAATATAATACTGACAAGATCATTCGCTGTCTATGGCCGGGTACCTATATACACCTGGATGAAGTTAGGAATATTAATGTAAAGAGCCTTTCCCAAAGACACAGCGCTTGGCAGAGTTGATCTTCGAACTAACAAACCTGCAACTTTATGAATACGAGTCCAGTGGCCTTACCAATATGCTGTCGAAATGGGTGGTTGGTGGGTGCTCTGGTGTGGTTAGCTCGTCCTTCTTTCCCATCAAAATAAAAATTAATATCATTCTTATCTCTCCTCCTTCTTCTTGTGTTTTACTGTCTTGTAACACTTCTGATCTTTGGCACTTATATGACCTAATTGTGTTGCCAGTGCCGTAAAACGCTTTCTACAAGTAAAACAAAGACTATCAACCCCTCGACACAGCTAGTTTTGTGTAACCTACCAAGACAGGCAAAATGTGGCCTTGAACAGATTCACTGGTGGAGATATCAGATTTTGTTGTCAGCATATGCCAAGCTTCTAGGACATTGGCAGTCACAGAATCTGACTCAGTTTGGTGAAGAACGCAACACGTAAGTTTTACTGCTTATCGTTTCTTGTGTAGTTTCTGTTTCTTTTGTTTGGTAGTGTTTTACAGCGCTTGCAACTGCATAAGGTCATATGTGCGTGCGGGAGTCATTTAGCATTTTCAGTTTGGTAGGATTTAATTTTGAGCTTTACCCGCGTGGAGGCCAAAGCCTACTCATCCCTACTCTTATCTTTAACGTATACAACTTGCACAGAGGACCTCCGAGATTTTTTCACCCATACCCCCCACCCCCTTGCCCAATCCCTCACCCGAGTGTAGTTTCCGTTTTTGTCTGTCTGTTTTGTTCTTCTTCCTGTGGTAAGTGACAGTTATTTTGTACTTCTCTTCACTCTAACTATACTAAAAGTAATGAAAATATAATTGTAACCGTAACCGGAACGGGATGCAGACTGGAGCATAACAAATAATTGTTTTTTGTCTTTTGTAATATTTAAAAAACATCCCCAAACAGATTGTTGAACGTAATTTCAAGAGAAAGTTTACAACATTCGCTAGTTATACCCGACGTGTGAAAATTTGTCTATTTCTTCTGTAATTAGCTTGACCGTTAAGATTTGTATCATTTCGTGCAATGCTCAGGTGGGCTCTATTGTTTTCGTTTAGACTCCGCCTACGTCTGCTGTTTTGGCATAACGAATACAGGGTCGAAAGCCACAAGGAAAATCTTTTACCCTATTGTTTTGGAACTCCGTCCCATAGTAAAATTTGTTGACTTTGACAAACGGAGGACATGTTCTAGCTTAAGTCGTCTGTCTTACCCTTCCCTCCATTGTGCCTATCTATTCAGCTTTTCCTCTGGGTAAAAAAAAAAGAAGAGAAAGAAAAAAGGAATTTCTGTTAATGCGCATCTCTTTACTCGGTCTAAAACAATATAAAGAGCTAGGATTGCTTGTACCGATTGAAGGGTGCTATAATGATCTTTTTTGTTGTTGTTATAGAGGAAATAACGAGAAGTCTAGAGGCTACGGTGTTTGCTTCTCATTCAATAGGTTCCGGGTTCTAATCCATGCAACGACGGACAATTTTCTCCTCTAAAAATGTTCTCCTTTCACCTCCTTTCCTGCTCTCTAACCATGTTCTTCGGTCTGCTTTCGCCTCCACTTTCTGCCCCCCCCCCCCCTTCAATTTGCCCCCTCCTTATTTGAGCTCCTGGCTCTTTCTATAGCTTACTTACTGCTACTCGTGGGCTCCTTCTCACTGCTGTCTTTCATCCACACGCCAGACATTATGGTAGGCAAGATCTACACCTTGCCTTCTCGGATAATGGCGAAAAATCTCGGAGGTCCATTGTGCAAGTTACACACGTAAAAGATACCTTTGTGGTTCTTAAATCGATAAGAGTAGGCTTCGACCGCCATCCGAGCAAAATTCAAAATATCCTACCTGCTGAAAAATGTTTAAGGTGTCTCATGCACTCATACGGCCCTATGCTGTTGCGAGCGCTGAAAAACACTTAAACCCTTTAACCCCCCCCCCCCCGAAAATGAAAATAAAATAAAATTATTACATTAACAAACAATAAATAAAGAGCATAAAAAATAACACCAAAAAATACATTTCCGATAGAAAGCCTATTTCAGATACAGGACCCTGGATTAAACAAGTTCTTGTTGGTGGTTGGCGGATGCTCTAGTGTGGCTTTCTCTTTTCCCGACAAATATCTATTGTCATTGCTTCCATTCCTTCTTTTGTCGGTTGGTTACTTTTCAGTAACACTTCTTATCTTCAGTATGTATATGACTATGCGTGTTGCAAGTATCCTTCAATGCCAGATCTGAGGCAGACCTCGGCGATCATGATTCTCTATTTGTGAGGCAACGTGGTGGAATCAGGCTCTCGTCAAAATAATCAAAGTGAAGAAACTGGCATTTTTCCGCAGGTTTGTGTATTTTCATAATTTATTTTTTTTGTCTTCTGCCCATTAAAAACTCATTTCTGTGTCGATTTTTCTTTAAAAAAACGTTGATTAAAAAAAAGAAAAATTTCAGTCACCACGAACTCTTAAGCTAAGGAAATAATTAATCTTTGGCGGCCATTTTCTCTTTAATTTTACCTCTGAAAACAGGTGACCCCCACCTCCTTCATTCGCAAATATCTCGACTTGTATTCAAGACAAACGGATATTTTTTTCCATCCAAATAAAGACGAGTGAACAAGCTTTAAGATGATACAAATAATTCTACAAGCCCCAAAATTGACGAGAGCCTGATTCCACCACGCTGCCTTACATTTATTCCTTTGCTCGGATGCTCTTAAAAAAGCTACGTTTCCCTGATCTTTCCCCGTTACCCGTTTGTTTAGGTTCCCTAAGTAGGTTGCTCTGAGCTTACCCCTGCATCGTTTGCTTTCAACTTTACCAGTGAGAGCGAGATGGTTAAAACCTTTATGTCTATTCAGGTGTCCGAAAAACTGCATTTGACGTTTCCTGATTGTTTTTAACAGTGAGGGTCCCACGTGGGCTTCATCAAGAGCTACCTCATTTGATTTCTTTTCATTTCTCGATATTCTCAGCAGCCTTCTAAAGAAACCACATTTCTGTTGCTTCCATTTTATTTTCACTGTCTTTAGTGATTGTCCAGCATTCACAGTCATACACACGGGTTGCCCATATATAGCATTTGAGAACTTTCATTTTGGTAGTCAATGAGATGTTTCTATTTTTTAGGGTTGGGCTTATTTCATAGAAGCTATCCTTAGCCATTGCAATTTTCGGTTTTATTTCTGTGGAACATTTGGCATCAGATGTTATTATATACCTTAGATATTTAAACTGTTTGACTTGTTTGATCTTTTCGCCTTCGCTAATGAGATTACATGTAGGATTTACTGTTTTTTATATTACAATGCATTCTGTTTTCTTTACATTCAACAATAATCCTTTAAGTTCACTTTCTGTAACAACAGTATCTAGAAGCGATTGAAATTCCTTTTCCGAGTCGGTTATTAAAACTGTGTCATCGGTATATCTGAAGTTATTAAAATTTTTGTCATTCACTTTGAGACCTGGACATTACCCTAAGTTTCTGAGGATTGTTTTACTGTACATGTTAAAGAGGTCTGGTGATATAAAACATCCTTGCCTCACTCATCTTCTAATCTGCTTGTATCACGAAATACTAAATCAGCATTTCCCAGCCAGCTTTCTTGAACAACTAAATTAACTCTTTTCATAACTCATGCTCCAGGATGTTCCGTTGAGTATTGGAATCAGGCTTGGCAGGTGGTTGGAGGGCGCCACTAGAAGGTCCTACATTTATATTTTTTTTCTCTGCTGTTTCTGTCTGTCTGTCTGTCCAGCAGTAATTGACCATTATTGTGTTGATGTGCTTCTGCTTTACTCAAACAAATAAATGAACTCGACCCACCTGCTTCCTACCAGAACCATCGATCTCAACTGACCAAATTAAATACTACGGTATTGATTGCAACTAATTTCTTTTTCATGTATACTAGGCTAAACTTATTTATTGTTCGGACCACCTGAAGATATCGGACTCATTAATGATGTGTGAACTCTATTTTCCTAACCGTGATGTATCTGCTTTTTTCTTCTTGTATACAAGCGTTTGATGAATTGGTTAAGCTTTTTGCCTTTTGACACAGAAGACGCGAGGTCAATTTTCGAATTGGTAAGTTATTTCGTCGAGAATCCCCGGCAGTCCACCTGAATGAATTACAAGTATCCCTATCAGGGCAATTTGACCCTGACATGCCCCCAAAATGATCTAGCATGCAATCATTTGCCATCAGAATGCTGGGTTTTAACCCAGGGTGGTAAAGCTTTATTGACAAGTAGTTCAGTCTTTCTGTGGGATATTGCATTTAACACGCTCTTTCTTGCCGGCAGAGTCGAAGCAGCCAACCTCCTAAATGACCCAAACAGTGTCGATGATGGTATAGGACATTAACTATCGGTTATTTTACACTCTTGCAGCATCAGCTCGGATGAGATCATCATGGGCTTCTACTCTACACTGTTTGCCTCGTTCCTGGCGGTAACCATTCAACAAACTGTCTTCCTCGGGACCGTCGCCGAAGCCAAGGTCGTCCTCTTTTTCTCCGTCCCACACACAGGGGTTGTGAGGACCCACATCAATGTCGCTCGCTCATTGGCTGACCTGGGTCACGAGGTGTGGGTGGCGGTGCCGCACTACATGCTGGACAGGAAGGTCGTCGACGTCACAGGGGTCAAGGTCGTTGAGTAAGGCTGAGAGTTGTTTGCTTAGCTTGTGTGTGGTGTGTGTGTGTGTGTGTGTGTGT